GTCTAGGCCAGAGTTCTGTAAGCAGAACTCTGAGGAGTGGGGAGTGGGGAGCAGAGCAGGTAGGTCTACTGAAATACTCTGCTGAGGGGAGCAGCCGGTGGGTCAGGAGAGGTCTGCCACGCCATGTGGGTCAGCTCCCTGACCGGAGATCAAACTTGTGCCACAGTGGCTTTGGAGGGCTTCACAGTGCAGTGCTTTAACCCATTATACCACCAGGGAGAGCCCAGCAAAATGTCTTTTTACCTGCAGTCTTTTTACCCAGTGAAGGTATAGAACTTCCTCAGCATGTCTATTTCACAGTTGTGTGGGACTGTTACTGAGGGAGGTGGCTTCATTTCTCACTGACCCTGACCCTCTGAGGCACTTCTGCTTGCATAGCTGGTGCTGTGGGCTTTTGTGGGTTTGCACATTCGGTGGCTCCTGAGAATGCTGGAATGTCATGTATTTCCCTGACTGGGCCTGAGAAGAAAATGAAATGAAATTGAATTAAAGTCTACATTGAGCATAGAAAAATGACACTTAGATTTGCCAGAATCACCCGTCAGCTCACTTATTTAGGAGACTAAGAAAAAACATCGCCATGATCACTTTGCTCAGCAAATAAAGCTTTGGGAGGGTGTGTGTGTGTGTGTGCATACATTTACTGTAGTGACAGTAGCTCCTGGCCACTGGAAGATGACATTCTCTGTGATGACTGCATAGCTTTCCAAATGCTATTCATGTAAGGCAGCTAACCACATCCATACCTAACTTCACGCTAGCAGTTAGACCTACATGATTTTGAGCGTTAAGTTATGTTCTTCTCATTGCAGGTGTGGGTCAGGCTTCATTTAAGTATTTTCAGTCAGCAGAGGAAGCCAGGCGTGCCATTGAGGCTGTGCTGTCAGCCGACCCTCGGTCTGTGTATCGCCGGAAGCTTTGCCAGGACCGCCTTTTCTATTTCACTGTAGATACTGCACATGTCACTTGTTGGTTTGGTGATGGCTTTGCAGAGGTTCTAAGGATCAAGCCAGCTTCAGAGCCTGTTCCAGTGACTGACCCTGTGGAGTCCTTGGTGTCTCTGGGATCGTAAGCGCCTCCATCTCATCTTCATGACCGTCTGGATGACATTGGCGTGACTGTTGGATTTTCTGCCCGAGTTTATGGTGTGCTTTCTTTGCAGAAAGAAGCAACATTTTGATCTCACTGCTGGGTGAATTTAAATTGTTAAACATATTTATTTGAAAAACGTATTTTAATAAACTTAACTGAGCGATATAAAATTTAGAGAAGTTGCTGTTTACCTTTTCACCTGTTTTTATTGAGGAATCCAAAGGTGATCCTGTGTCACTGATTTTTGGAAGAAGCAGTTTGTGCTTGGCACTTGATAAAATTGTTTTAGCAGAGGTATTCAAGATAAAGGATCTGCTTAGCAATTCACATTGGTTTTCCTGCCTGGAAAGCCTAAATCAAAATGAGTTACTAACTTTTAGAAAATTAACCAATGGAAAATAATTGGTTGTAAGGATTTTTAGAGATTAAACCTCTGACAGAGACTTTGCCACACACACATATATGTATACGTGTGTGTATATATATGTATATGTGTACATATATGTATATGTGTGTGTGTATATACTATATGTTTGCTCCTGATTCCAAAATAGAATTTAGATTTCTTTGTATCAGAATAGAAAATCACTCCCCTTCAGCCCAAGAAAATAATTTCCCAAGAAAACAATTTAATCACTGGTTTATATCTTATTTACTCTATGACTATTTGCTAAGCACCTACTATGGGTTAGGGTTTGGTGATAAAATGAGATGAACAAGATGCAGTTTTTGTTGCACGTCATAGTGAGGGAAGTAAGACGAGCAAATTGTTGTCTAACAGTGAGATTAAATGGGGTAATTAAGTCCGCGTGGCTCCCGTGAAGTACCGCGTAGGAAGCAGTTGTAAGAATGTATTGCCTATAGGTAATCTTAATACGAGATCCCAGATAACCTAAGATTTTTGATCACTGTAACCAAATTAGACACCTGTCAACATGACACAGACTTTCCTAATTGGAAGTGTAAATCTTAATAGCTGATTGATCATGGCTTTGAAATGAGCACTGCTGCCTGTAGAGACTTGCACACAGCCGTCTGTGGCTGATGGCACTGCACTCTTGAAACAAACAGGGCTGTCCTTGAGGTTACTTAGACCCTGGGGAAATGGCTTTTATTTGACTTGTAAAAGCTTTTTATTTTGAGATCATCACAGATGCACAGGAAGTTACAAAAATAGTGCCGTTACCGTCTATCCTTCACCTAGCTGCTTTCCCTGGTAACATCTTACATAACTAAGAGAGTTATATTAAACCTGGGAGTTGACATTTGTACAGTCTACCCTTTAATTTGATTTTGATGTTTTTTTTAAAAAAAGTATTCTGAAACAGAATCAGGACCTGAAGCAAAAAATGTTGGCACTTCATATGGAAAAAATAATTCTGGGGGTGCTATCAATCCGCCTCTGAGCAAGGGGCCTGACTGGTTAGCTGTTTGGGGTTTTAGTACATAGTCTCAGGATTTAAGAACTAACATCCTAAATGGTAGTTTCTTGGCTCTCTGCCAGCTGACCAGTCCCTTCACTGTTCTCTGTGTTTGGCCCTCTGACCTCTGCTTAAACCCCTCTGGGAGAAGGCCGGACCTTTACCCTTGCCCTGTATGGACAGCGGAGACTATTACATTACAGAGCTCTCTCTGAGATGAGATCTGCGAAAACTCCATGATAGCCTGTCAGATACTCTGCAGCTCCTCACCTGCCCCATTTGGCTTTCTCTCCACCAAACACGCCCATTTCCTCAGACTTTTTTACAACGCGATCTCAATCCTCCCTACCCCTGTCCTTGTCTGCTGTGAGCTTTTGCCTCCAGGCATCTGTTTCCAGTGTCCTATTATAAGGGAATTGGCTCTCTAGTCATGAGCTTCCACATTCAGAGAGAAAAATAGTTTGAAACAGGTCCTATTCCTTTCATCTTGCAATTTTATTTTATTTTAAAAGGGATCAATTCATAGCAGACATAAGGTGACGTCCACCTTAAATAGTGGCCTATGTTTCATGCTGTCTGTAGGGGGAGCCCTTGCAGCTGATGATTTTCACAAGTTGGGTGATAAATTACCGGAGTTAAGTTATTCAGGTTATTTTGGCTTTCGGCCCACCTGGTTTCCACAAGAAATGCTGATGCTTGTCAATGAAAGATAGGAAGAGATTAGACAGATGCATGCCATTGGTTACATTTTTAAATCTTCAGGTAGTTTATGTATAACCATGGGGCTGGTGTACATAAACAATATCCTATGCTTATGTGTAATGTTTATACATATATAGAAAATTTCTAGAAGGATAAAAAAAAACTTCCTGTGGGCAGCAGTGTCTGGGAACTGCAGGGAGAAGGGAATTTTTCACTTTATTCTCTTCAGTATGTTGCAGAGAGAATATATATATATATATATATATATATATATTTTTTTTAAAGATTTATTTGTGCATACAGAACTGGGGTACAGGCCAGAGGCTCAGGGGCGGTGAGAGGCTTCACCAGAGACAGAGGGGGGAACAGAACAGGCAGATCGACGAAGTACACTGCTGAGGGGAGCAGTGGGCGGGTCAGGAGAGGTCTGCCACGCCATGTGGTCACCTCCGGGGCAGGCGGGAATCGAACTCATGCGGAAGTGGCTTTAGATTCTCAGTGCTGTGCTTTAACCCGCTGCACCACCAGGGAGTGCCGATAATATATATTTTTAATGTATAGAACATACGGGGAGTAAAATGTCCTGATAAAGCAAGTATATAACTATATAACCTCTTTCTTTCCTCCCTTTTCCCCCTCAAAAAAAAAAAAAAAAGGGTAGATACAGAGTCATGTTTGCTTTTCCCCGGCACGTCCTCTTTGGATCCCAGAGCCAAAACCATCCAGGTCACACACACATTGACTGTGGAGTTGAGCGGTAAGTTGGGGCAGGTAGACAGCTTAGCTCTGGCAGCTTATCCCTGATGATGCATTGATGTTTTCTGTTCTTCCGGAGACAGGGTTCTGGGTTAGGCATTGTGCCTCCGGGCAGAAGGCTGGCACCCGTGCCCATGCTGGCAGAGGGCTGAGCCACTGAGAGCGCTTCAGTCCAGTACTCGCCAAACCTGTGCAGTTTGTCCTATCTGGACTCCGGGATAGGTCTGTGCTTGCAAGACCCACTCACTTGTCAGCCCCTCCCACTGGTTCTGTCTGTTGCACTTACTGAGCTCACAGAGCATGTGACCGGTAGGGTTGGCGCTCTGTGGGTCAGCAGAGCTGGCCCTGGCTCACAGGCAGAATGAGAATGCTGAGCTCAAGTCAGCAAGAAAGCAGACTTGGAGCTGGAGATTGGGATGGGCTTTGTCCATTGGGTCAGGAGGTTGTATGGAGGTGAGAGGTGGGGAAGACATGTGGTAAGGGCAGGCAGGTGGCAGAGAAGAGCCTGTTGGGGTGGTGGTGGGCTGTCAACAGATTTGGGGGCTCACACTGTGGGTGGGGAGGAGTTGAGGTTCAAGAGAAGTGACAGAGCCAAGGCAGGACCAAGTCCAAGTGGGGTTAGGAGGGTTATCTTGGGGACCTTTACGGAGACCCCCTTATATCAGAGGTGGAGTGTTTCTTCCTAAATTCTTTGCCTCATACTCTTGTATGCCACGATAGGAGGTCACTTTCACGGGTACCTTCAATGTGGTAGGGTAATAATGAGTAAGGAGTATTTGCAGATGACAAGGCAAGGGGAAAACAAAAGTTTTAAAGTGGGTTGATGAGTGAAAGCACAAACTATCCACGGGCCTGAAGTGGGAGGAACTTGGTGGCAGTCTGCTGCCCCTTCCTCCCAGGCCAGGAATCTCTACCAGGTCAACAATCCTGGGTCAGCCTGCCGCGCCACCCATGCCATTTAGCCAAGTCTCAGCTGATTGAACACATCAGCAGATATAGACAAGACCATCTGCATCATCTAGCTCTCTGAGTTGGCTTAGATCACAAAAACTTCCCAGCCAACATACGGAGTTAAAAAAACCGTTTGCTACTAGTACAACCACAATGGAAAACTGTTTGGAGGTTTCTCAAACTGCTCTCCTAGGTATCTACTCAAAAGACACAAAAACACTGATTCAAAAAGATAGCTGCACTCCCATGCTTATTGCTGCTTTATTCACAATTGGAAAGACATGGAAACAGCCCAAATGCCCAAAAATGGATGACTGGATTAAAAAGATGTGGTACATATACACAGTGGAATATTACTCAGCAACCAAAAAACAAAAAAATAAGCACATGTCTTTTGCAGCAACATGGATGGAGCTGGAAAAGATCATGCTTAGTGAAATAAGCCAGAAAGAAAAGGAAAAATACCGATGGTTTCACTCATAGGAGGAGTATAAAGGACCAGGGGAGAAAACAATAATGAACAACTATGTACCAGAGACATTTTATGGGGGTGGAGTGGGGAATGGGATCAAAAACAGTAGGGGGAGGGAAATGCACTGGACTATGGTGACGGCACATGGGTGATTTGGTGATTTTCCACCCATTGCAACTGAGGTGGAAAAAGGCACAAAATGATGTAAAAATAAATAAATATAAATATATATATATATATATATATAAATAAAAATGCCAATTTGGAAAAAAAACTGCTATTTTAAACCAGTGATATTTAGATTAAAAGCTAGCATCTATACTCAGCTACCATAGTCGAGAGGAGTAGTGGGAAGCTGGTCTTAACAGGAATGGTTAACATGAAAAAAATGCTTAGATGATGAAGGGGTCTTTTGGGCAGGATGGATTTTTATGATGAAAGTCATGAAGGAATAATAATAATAGCTAACATATCAAACATGGAGTCAGGTATGGAGCTAAAAGTTCTATATAGATTGTCTCATTGTAAAGATAGCTGGGAAGGGGAAAGACAAATCCTGAGTCTGTCAAACTGTAGGACCAACATTCTTGAACACTGAGATTTCTGGCCTTGGAGAATCTGCAAATGGCCAATCCATAAATACAAATGGAAAATCTCATGAGACTTCTTTTATTCCTCGTGCCTGGAGTTTATTTTACATTTCCTTGCTCACAGGTTTCAACCTCAGCTGCACTGAGTCCCTGCAACCACATAGGCCATACTAGGATGAGTGACACATGAAAGAAAGAAGAAATCCATCCACACTATCTTTCCTAAAGTGAGTCAGTCTTGTGTCATGTGAGTGCCTTTCTG